CCAGTATTCCCCCGTTTCTGCTGTGAAGCAGGAACCCCCCGTGTGCTGCATGTCAGGAACAGCCCCTGGAAGGAGCGGCCTGAGGAGGAGGGCGGCAACAGCTCTACCCAGCATGTCTAGAGGGGACGTGGTGGGACTCACACGTACATTGGCCACAATTATTGTGCCTTCACATGGACCCCTGCCAGCTTCAGGTTTAGGAATTTCAGTGACTCCAAATCCTTATGGAACCAACGTGCTGGCGGAGGGACAGCGCCCGGCCGTGCAAACACACCCCACTGCTCACGTGGGAACTCCCCCAAGCACAGCGTGGGGAGCAGAAGGTGCTTCTCCCACTTCTATGACCCATTTATTTATACAACAGGCTCCGTGTCCTCACCAGTCCCCTGACCCTACAGGTCTGGTTTCGGTTTTCCTGCAGCTGAGAGGAAAGAAGCACAATTGTGGCCACATAAAACTCACACCTTCCACCTGTCTGGCTGAGTTCAGAGCAGTACTTTTGAGCCAAATTTCACTTTTTTATCACCAAAATAAAACCAGCAGCAAGTCCTAGGTGCACACCTGTTGTATAAATATATACATATGTGCATATATACATACATACACACACGTGATGCTGCAGCCCGCAGCCCTCAGCACGGGCTGGACCTTGCTCTGTGAGCTCACCCAGCCCCGCTCTGGGGAGTCCAACGTGGTGAAAACCAGGGAAAAACCCCAGATCGAGGTGTTCTATCACAGCTCCAGTGAGGAGCACATCGACCACATCTGAACACCCCACGGACCAGCTGCACGAGTCCGAGTCACTCCAGAGCTGCCCCTGTGCCCTCTGCCGGGTCTCCCTTCTCTCCTCCAAAGGAAAGTTGGAGCAGGCAGAGGGGGCCAGGACAAGGGGCAGCTCATGGAATTCAAGTAGATTGGTAAATTTTTGGAATGGTTTGACAAGCAACCGCTCACAGACTGCAAGAGCACCCCCACGGGGCCGGCTGTGGAGAGAGGGAGCAGAGAAGACAACGGCACTCGGGAATGAACAGCCAGTTTATATAAGAGCTTCCTCTATACATATACATATATATATATATATATATATATAACCACCAGAAATTTCCAGCATCTCTCCTTTTAACACCAAAATGAACTGTGCATGTAACATTGGCATAATGAAAGTTTGTCTTGGAGATTTCTGGCATTTGGCTTGTGCAAACATCAAAGACAGCCAGGTTCCCTCCCGCGGCTTCTCCTCGTAAAGAAAGCGTCTTCTTGGAAGGGCACGGGAATTGCAGTCTTGCTGAGTCCCAGACAGTCCCAGTGAGTCTCCCAAGGCAGCTCATGGAGCAGACCACGGATCTTGTGGGAGCTGAACACTGACAAATTTCCTGCCACCTGGTGAGCTACCAGTTTTGAGTCTTTCGAGAGATTTTAAGCAGCTGTTGGTGCAATGAGACACTACAAACTAGATGATTTCCACTAGAACACAGAGAAGCGGCACCAGATGATGAAGCATGTGAAGTTTATACCAACCTGACACTACAAACACGAGTACTGGGGGGTTACAGCTCAGCGCTCCGAGATTAACGCGCATTTAAACACCATCCGGGATTATTAAAATGAGGTGGGGGCTGCAAACGCCGCCCTGACCACCCTGCCGGGGTCACCTGTTAAACATGATGCCAAGATACAGGTACACTGGGTACAAAAAACCTGCAGCACAAATTTCCTAAAGTATCCAGAAATGGCAAGAAGATTGAAGGGCACAGGGACAGACGAAGGGCACAAAGCAGTTGAGAGAGGCAGGTGCCTCTCTCAGGGAGTGTGTGTGGTACAAACGCCCCGGTACAGCCCCCCAAAGTGCATCGGTGTCCCGCCACGCCACACAACCGCCTCGCAGATGGGACAGGAATAGCTTTTCCCTCAGGCTCCTGCCCTGGTTACACCTGTGTGAGGGTGTTCCCAGGCTGACAGGAAGGGGTTGGAGAGCTGCACTGCCCTGACCGCAGCCCTGCTGCAGGACTGGGTGTTTCTGTGCCCAAGCACTCCTCAGTTCTGCTCCTCCAAACCTTCAAGAGCATCCCACTGTAAGAACACTAGGAGTGCTAATATCTAAAGCAGTTTAAAAAGCTTACAAATCTAAAAAGAAGACTAAAAAGGGAACATTGCTCTAAAACGTCACTGCATGGGACCAGCAGAAACCGACACCCTACGGGACGCCACCGAGGCTTACATAAATTTATATACAGATAAATATTTAAGAATCTCCTACAAAAATCACTAACAAAATGAGACTGGCATTTAAGGGCTGCAATGCCCCTTCAGTACAGTGCATTGGGGATGCCCCCATCCCCAGGGAGGACGGGCAGGGCAGATCCAGCACCTCCTTTCTCCAGCAGTTCCACGCACCGGGAGGGACAGGCAGCACCCGAGCGCTCTCAGCAGCAGCTTTCCCTCCTCAGCCTAAGCTAGGAATGACTCCCCACGCAACAGAGCTCAGGGATAAAGTCAGTGGTCCTGAACACCAGCTCTCTCTGGATAGGATTCACCCTGATGGAGCTACAAGTGCTAAGGAAATCGGTGCTGGAGAGGTCGGAGGAGCCGGATGGAGGCGGCCGAACGACTGAAAATGGAGGGCTCAGGCAACTCGTACAAATGATACAACTTCAAAGAAACAAATAAATAAATAAAATCCAAGCTCAAGTTTTGATTCTGGCAAGATGTCAGACAGAGATGGACAGTGCTCAGGTTTGATTTTGGAGGGAAACATTCTGCACTAAGCCAGGTCGGGGGCGCAGTGCTGGCACCTGCCCAAGCCCAGACCTCCTGTCTGAGCTTCTCCACCACATTTCAAAACATGATTCCCAACATAACTTTGCATTTACTATGATTCCACTTGGCCATTTTTAAGTGCAACTCGTGTTAGAGCCCAGGGTACTTTTGTACCTTCCCTCCTAGAGGGGAAAAGTGGGCATTAACCTACTTATCTTCCAATGACATGATTTTGGCTTTAAAAGCGGAATGTTTAAATCACTTCCTTAACACGGTTCAAGAAGAACTTCATTAATTACACAACAATCCTAAAGTCAAGAGATCAGACAGCAACATGGGCAAACTTTAAATAGCTTCAAAAAAATATGAATATTCATGTAGAATTATGTTTTTCCATCACTCTCTGTAACTGGGATCCCGGAGTGGTTTCCCTCGGAACATCTCACATCACTCTGGCACGTAACAGACTAATTTCCTCCTCACACACCACCCACAGACAACTGACAGGAAAGCAGTCTCTCTCCAAACTCATCCCTTGCTAAGCAAAGAACTAAAACTGCAGATTTATCTTGGATGTCATCTTTCCCTGTGGATAACGGTGCTGCCTCTGGTCCTCACGTGCTGCCCACATTTTGGATCCCTTGTCAGGAGCCTGCAGAGCCATTCCAGGTGTGTCCCACACCTCCCTGGAGCTACAACTTCCCACCAGCCTCTCTGCTTCCATGGAAACAGCCCAGAGGGGTTAAGAAATAAGAGGATTTTCCAAATTAACAGCAACCATCGACATGAATGTGGGGACAAGGAGTGTAACAACTCCCAGGGAACAGTCCCTTCCCCATTCACCAGCTCTCTCCAATCAGCCACACTCATTTACAAAGCCAAAAATCCCCAACACCTTATATATTTTTTCCAAGAACACAATTTGTGCAGTGAAGGGTGATTTTAACCAGCAATTGTTTAGGGACAAAGCCTACAGATACTCAAGCATATTCCAGCCTGCAATTCTACATCAAGAACAGGCTTCAGGCAAAATCTGCAAAGACAGTGAAAAGTGATGTTGAATGTAAGCCTAAAAACTGCTTTTCCATCCAAGGGGTCAAACAAAGACAGTAATTAAATAAGGACCTCAAGCCAAATCATACTCATATGTCCTTAAGGCCACCTAAGACAGAAAAAGTGAAAAGTCTCTTGAAGTAAACAACCACATTTCAGGTCTAAAAGGACCATGGGCGAGGAAGAAATGACTTAAGGAACGTGCTACTGAAATCAAGCTATTAGTTAAAAGTCATGGGGTCTTTTTTTTTTTGAATTTTGGGGGCCTGATGTGGTACCAAAAGCGTGTTGATCTGCACCAAGCTCCCGTGCAGGCAAAGGTGCTTCTACCAACAGCTACAGCCAAGGCTGGGTGTGCAAACATCCCTCACTGAGCACTGAGACCGTGCTAAGAACATTTTCTCCTACCCAGCACGTTTAACAGGGTTTTCATGGTGGATTTTACGTGTTCCATCACTGCTGCTCGTGCAAAGACAGCGGGAAAATAGATTCCAAATGGTTCTCTGGCAGGACAGTCCCCGTCCTATCCTGGAGGTTTTCCTACAGACCAGCAGAGCTCTACGCTGCCCTAAAGTAACCCCTGGAGCAGCAGACACAGTGGGAAGGTGCCAAGAGCCCCTCCAAAGAAAGAGGGGGAGAAACAAAACAGGGAAAGGAAGGTACAAAGGACAGCAGAGTGATAAAAACCAAAGTGATCAAAACTAACGAGGCCGTAATTTCCCGCTCAAAGTGCCAAGTGTGGGTTCTCTGTAGCTGTTCTAGATCCTGATTCTGTATCCCCTAAAGCAGGATTACTGACAACAAAATACACCAGCAATTCAGCAGCTGCCTAAAATGCCTTTTTAACAGTTCATTTCAATAAACCACAGTTTACTAGAGCAGAATTCGGACTTGATTTGGTTTCAAAATAGAACAGGAAACCTTTCAGTGGCTTCCACATAGTTGTTCTGAAGAAAAGAAAAACACTGGTGTAAACAAATCTAAATGCAAGACAATGTGCAAATTATACAATATAAACACAAAGAAAGGTGGCTCGTTCTTAAAAATCCATTTCAGTACTCCACAAAGGTGTTCATGAGAAAATTAAAGGGTTAGTGTATTATAAAAGCTTTAAAAAAAGACAGGTAATACCCCGTTTGTCTACTGAAGTCTCAAATTATCAGAGCAAATTTTTACAAACCAATTTTTTAAAAACATTTCTGCTGTTGCCTGCTCAGTGAGAGCCAATTAACCAGTTTCACTTTAAGATTCTCATGCATTCAGAAACAAAGCTGCACTATTTGGTCTTTAGCATTTCAGGAAAACAACTGAACTCAAACCGAAACAGAATTGTGCTTGGAGTTAAAAATCCCACTGCCACCACCACAGGAGCCCATTCCCAGTTGGTTTTGGTTCCATTGTCACTGGAGATCGCCTCACACACAACGAGCTGTTCAATTTACTGTTCAAAGATTGGCAATTCTCCCTTTTTATGTTTCAAGGTAGATTTATTTAAGCTGAAAACCAGTATTAAGAGAGGACTCCAGCTCTGCAGGACTGGCATTTTTTTGGTTCTTGGCTTTGTAAACTTGCTTAGATAAAAACGCAGGAATAGGAGGAATGAAAGAATTTGTTTGTTGCACTGAAATGAAAATCCTCAGCTTTTAAAGGTCTTCGACAGCTCAGCTGTACAGAAGAACAGTGGCTTCTGTGACAGAACCTCATTTTTAGGCCAGTACTGCTGCTTAAAATGCAGAATGTCTCCATCGCACTGATATTGTGACAACTCAATACGTTACACCACAGACATTGAACATAACTCCATACATGCTATTAAAAAAAAAAACAAACAAAGAAAAAAAAACAGGGAAAATAAAAACGAAAAGAAAGGAAACAAATAAGACCGTAGCTAAACTGCTTTAAATACTGCATGCTACAGCACTTCACGTATCATCGAGATACGACACTGAAAGGTGACAAAAGGCTGAAGGGATTACAAAATATTTTCGGCAGGTTGGAAAGCTGCCTTCTTACTGTGGCAGAATTATTCCCCCTCCCCGTTCTCTACTTCTAATGTTCATGATTCTAGTGTTGAGTTGGCCATGTATTTATTATTTTTTTGTTGTTTTTTTTTTTTTTTTTTTCTAATGACAGTGTTTCCTTAACTTAATTAAATCCATCAGTGTGGTAGCTGGGGTGAGAGTCAACTGTGAGCTGGGTTGTCTCTGTGGCTGATGCTGGCTGTATCACAATAGGTGCGTCTGAGGCCTCTGAAAAGGGAAGACAAAAGGCTTAGGACACCAAGGAACAAACATAGCACTGTATTTTTTGGTCAGCACAAGTCACATCTCCCTGCAGAGCTCTGGTAACAGAGTTTCACGCTGCTCTAGGAGTGTGATGTTAGTGCTCTGACTTTCGGTGCGCGCACAGCGCTCGACTCAAGTCCACACGTGGAATATTTATCATATTTCCTTCTCCCTGTAAGAGCAGCTGATCCTCACCCACCATTCAGCAGTGCCCATTAAAAATGTCGTCACAGCTTACACGAGGCTCTCCAATTTTTTTAACTATTGGTTTAATTCTACAGAAAGAGCTTTATACCTTCATGGACAGTATCAGACAGAGCTGCTGGGGCAGCAGTGCCAGCTCCTTTGCACCTGATGCACTTCCAGCTGCCTCGACACCCCCAACCTTTGGGGTACAAGAGCCCCTTTCTGCAATCACACACTCCTGGCCCGTATGTTACCCCCAGAGATGTGGAAGGAAGATGATTGATGGTCACTGACTGCTCTGAAGCTGATCCCATCAAGTTCAGTGAAGACCCTCAGGGAGTTTTCGGCAACTCTATATCCGGTGTCAGCGTCACCCACACAGTGCCACAAACACTCCCTGCTCATCACCCACACCCCAAGGCCTGTGCTGATCCCTCACTGATGGGCCTGGCAGGGACTGATGCTCATCCCAGACATCCAGCAGCATTTTCACCTACCCCTTTCATCTGACTGCAACTGTGCCTCCAAGTCCTCTGGAGAGACATAGAATTCCTGCTCTTCGCCTTCGGGAGGTTTCGGTTTACACTTCCCACAGCAACAATTACAGCAGCAGCACAGACAGCAGCAGCAGTAGCAGGCTGTGATGAGCCCACAGAACACAAACAAGGCCTGCAAGGGACACAAAACACAGAAATAGTCACAACCTCTGCCTACTGCACCATGATCATGGAGTTTGTGAGACTCAGATATGGAACCAGAGAGCAAAAAACACAGCAGTGCGGAGTCAGAACTCACCAGCTACAGCTTTATGACCTCATCAACAAGAAAGATTGAAAGTTATCTGCAAAACTATAGCCCTCCCCATTTTACATTGAGGTAAATACTGACAACCTGGTTTGCTTGAAGAATTGCTACCATTTAGGTTTAAGTGGACTATTTATTCTGCCGCATCTGGAAGAACATACAGGTCTAAGACTGCATCTGTATTAAAATCCAGAGGTACAACAGTTCAGAACAGACTGTAGCTCGCAGTAATATCCCTGACACAGACTGACCTGTGCTGGCTGATGCACAGGTCGTGATGTACCTTCAGCAGGGACCTGGAGCAGCCCAAGGCTGTGGACATGGCTGGGAGCTCAGGGCACTGAGGTTTGATGCTCCCAGTGTGAGCAAGGTAGCTCCAAGAGAGCCAGGTCTGCCAGGTGCTTATCACAGTGACAGTGGGTTAAATTAAAGTCTTCCCGTAGGTCACTGTACAATTGTTTGAAATAAATGATTTTACAGATATCAAACCAGCACAGTGATACAATTATTCCCTTACTTAGGGGAATCAAGAGAGGGAGACAATGCTGGCAAAGGGTGGAAAAATGCACCCATGCAATGAAATGTAAGCAGACTTCTCCTGTGTGAGCTCAAGTTCACAGTCAGGACTCATTCTGCAAAATTATTTAGCAGGTATCACCAGAGGACACCCCAAGATCCTCATCACTTTTAATTCCACTGGAATGGAAGCTTCAATTAGTAACATAAGTCTTTGTATTAGGCCTGTTATCACCAAAAGATCACAGAAAAACACTTCTGAACACAATGCAGGAAGAGGGTTAATTACCAAGTATCAGAAATTCTGCAAATTTCCAAAAAAACAACGCCCAGTTATCAAACGGAGCTCTTACAGTGCCAACCCAGAACAACTTCCCTGCCCTTTTATTTACCTTTGCCCACCAGCTGGACAGTACGAAGTATGTGTTCACATTTTCTTCACCAAACTGCTCTGCTACATAGAGCCCCAGGGACCCATACTTATCGTAAATGTTCCTCTTTGTGGCGTCAGTCAATATTGCGTGGGCATTATTGATCTCTTTAAATTTTTCTGCTGCCTCTGGATTATCAGGGTTTTTATCAGGATGATATTTCAATGCCAGTTTCCTGCAGGAAGAAGGAAAAAAAAAAAGGGGAAAAAAAAAAAAAAAAAGAGATTGTTATAGATTAAAAACTGGGATTTGGGTTCCTGGTTTTTTTTATTTAGTTTAATTCCGTAGCCTGCCACGCAAGGGAGACTTTCATGTTTCCTTCATCTGTGATTCAACTTCCCTGATGATTCTTCCTTAGATGATAACAAAGAGCTACAGCAGTGTCTGGCTTAGCTCACAGGATTGACTTCAGACTGTTGGATTTGACCCTCAGAAATCCAAAGGAAAAAAAAAAAACAAAACAAAACACTGAAGAAAAGTACTTGTGGTTTTTTTTACCCTCAGCTCCAGCAATTTCCACCAGTAAGTTTTGCTGCTCCTGTTACAGCAAAAAAAAAAAAAAACAAAACACACACCACAAATCTAAGGTATAGCACCAAAGAGTAAATAGAAGCTGCTTGAACAGTGTCTGAGCTGCTGCTTCTGCAGTGTCTGAACGCAAAAATAGAACAGATGATCACTTGTGGTTAATTCACCAATTCCTGTGCAGGAACAAAGTACTTCTCAGTTCAAGGTTTGCTAGAATAAAAAACGCTTCTCAGTTTCGAGATATCAGGAAATCCCAACGTACACCTCCCCTAATCAGGCCAGATCTCTTACAACTCACAAAAAGATCAGATTAGGCATTGATAAATGTGCTAGTTCTCACGTGGCCCAGACTATTTACAGAAACCAGCAGAAATTACTGGGCAGGCACCTCCTCAGAAACAGAAAACACGTGTTCCCCAGTACAAAAATGACACGGAACTCTGGGCTGCCTCTTCTCCACCACAAAAGGTTCTTGTACAGAAAATGACCACAAAGTCCCATATTTGACAAACACAAGAGGAGCCTGCAGAGGATTCCACATCAGCTTTGCAGCAGGGCAATGTTCAGACAAAACATAAAATAAGAATGTGTGCAAGCCCTTGGATGTGCCTGCAAGTGTCTCACAGCATCTGAAAACCTGAATGACCCTTGGAAGGCTCCCACTGCACACGATGCTGCTCAGGTGAGTAACGTCGATGGTTGACGCTTGTGCCCCAGCCTCAGGGAGGGTTGAAAGAATCACAGCTTTTATAATTACAGAGAAGTTCTAGAAACCTGGAAAGGGCTTAATCAGGCTGCAGTAAATAAATAGTTTTCATTTCCCATCTCCTACACAAAGCCCAGAGCCCCCAGGCCAGCAAAGGATGTGCAGATTGAACACGGTACAGGAGCAGCAGAGGAAACGAGGTGAGATGAAGGTTCAGGTAAGTATGAAGCAGCTACAATTCACCCCAGGACCTCGTGGGGCTGTTCCTCCAAAGGAAAAACTTGCAGTCTTTTCCCCCAGGATGGTAAGATTATTTTCCAGTTGCTCAAAGATAACCGATTCAAGCTTCCACTTGAAATTTTGAGGAAGATACAGCTTATTTTTGAAAATCTGGGGCCCCAATTTATTCCTAGACTCCACCATGATGTTGCCACTGGTATTACAAATGTAACTTGGGAAGGGAAGAAGTTTTGGTAAAAGTTAAAGGGTAAAAGGAAACAATTTTGCCAAAGAGTATCCTCATGGAAAGGTGATGCTGACCCCTAGTGTAATTCCATACACATTGCTACTTGTCACAGAGCAGCAATTGCATTGAAGTAGATTTTTTGGGAATGTGGAAAGGAAAGAATGTTACAGACCCCATTTTCTGTTATCAGTTGATCAATATGAAGCCATTTCATGTGTCCAACTCTTTATGAAAAGAAATATAAAGAAAAAAATCCTCTTTTAAACTAGTAGCTCCACAAAGAATATGAAATATTGAGAGGAATTTTAGGAAAAAGTAAGTGTTGACATTCGGGTTACATCCTTATTTGCATCTTTAATCTCTACCTCACTCAAGTGGAAATGATGGCCAAAAAGGCAGTGCTGCCCATCTGTGCTCCCCCTGAACCAGACACAAGGCTGCTGAACAGGTAGAGTTTAACTCTGATCACGCTGCCTTAAAATTCTATTCAACTTTTAAACAAAGCCCTTTCAGAATGACACTGCATAATTGAGAATCTAGCTTGGAAATCTGGATGGAAATCGAGAATTTAGACGGAAAAACTGAAAAGCCTAGGCACGTTTTCCCACCAAGCTTTGCAAGAAGCAACCAAGTCTTCACCTGTTTTTCTTACGTATTTTTCTTGCAAAAGGTCTAAATATACTAACTCAGGCCCCTGTGTAAATAGGCCATCTGTTGAACATTGAATTAAAGCCATTTGTGCTACTGGGACAGGTGTGAAACTCGAACTTTTACCTGTAAGACTTTTTGATATCATCTGAAGTGGCGTTTTTGTCCAGCCCCAGCACGTGGTAAAGGGATTCCCCAGAGGTAGAGAGCGAGCGTTGCCTCTGGTCTGCCATCTCGAGCTAACCTGAGGAGAGAACCGGCCCCTGCCAAAACAAAAATTAGATTAAGAAATGCTTAAACAAAGAATAAAACAGATCTCATGAATCAAATCACCCTTAAAACCAGGGTTTGCACGCGAAAATTCAGCTTTTATGAGGTTTAAATGCGCTTTGAAACGGCTCTTCATATACATGGAAGGTAAAAAGATACAAAACTCACTGAATTACCAGTGAAAACAACTATTACATTTTCAGCACAACACCAGGTATCCTGAATCAACACTGTGTATACTCAACTTTTCTTTCCAAGAAGCCCGAATCAACAGCTGAGGTACAGCTATAGCTATCCCTAAAGATACTTCTTAATATTCAGACTAAGAAAGATTATTTGTGGTAATATCTATAAAAACAATCAATTACATTTTAACAAAAAAAACCACCAAACCTCCCCACACCTCCTAAACCCCACCAGGTCAAACAGAATCCTTAAGGCAAGTCCAGTGTGCCTAGGCCTGTGCACCCCAAGAGGAAAAAGGGAATGCCTGCCCACTTAGAGAAGTGCAGATCTCCCATCTCGTAATTCAAAGTTGAGGATCCAACACTTAACATGCATTCTAGTCAAACCCATGCTACTTGAACATGGATTAACCTCCTGCTCCACATCCAAACGTGGCAGACCCCAGAGGTGTCCCCTGTGCCATGGCAGGGACAGATCTGGTTGTGTCCCCTCCCATCCTGAGGAGATCAGCTTTGCTGTTCTTTAGCTGCAGAACTGCAGCCAGGATGAGCATCCAAGAAAAGTCTATTGGCTATTTTTGGATTATGTCATTACAATTAGCCTACACCAGATTATGCAGCCTTTGAAAAAGATATTTAAAGCACCAGACTTTTCTAATTTAACCCTATGTCTTATATAACAAAGTTAATAACTCCAGCTTTCCCAAGGCTGGCTGAAAGCAACGCTCTCAGACATCCCCCCCTCCCTGCGCTGCCTGGGTGGAGCTGTGACCTCACACCTCACAAAACCACAGCACATGGGAACTGTCACACCCTCACAAGGGTGACCAGGTGACAAGGATGTAGACACACACGTTACCACTGTCTTGTTCAGCTCAGACCCTGCTGCTGCTCATCCTCTCCCACATTTGGCCTCTCCAGCTCTACGTTCATCTAACACTGTGCTGCTCCATGTCCAGTTGTTGTAACTGGAACACACCACCTAAACCAAACTCTCATCCAATCTCCTTCAAGAAGTCTTTGGCAATTCTACCAAGTTCAATACAAGGAAGCCTAATAGGAAGATATAAATTATTACTGTTGATAATAAAAGGTCTAAATTCTAAAGCTCTGGCTAAGAATTCAAGCTGCACCCCAAATCTGGAAGGTGAATGTGTGCGTAGGGAGAGTCAATCTTTTCAAGGACACTGTTCAGTACCAAAAGCTCTCTGTATGGGAGGAAAATCACTGAGTGCTGCGAGACACAATACAAACAACTCACTTATTCAGGCATAATCTGATTCGGTGAAAGGAAAAACATATTTCAGGAACGAAACCCCACACCAGGGCACACAGCAGGCACAACCCTCCAAGCCAGCCTTTTCCCACTGGGAGCCTCCCAACCCCCTCCATCCTGGAGCTGAGGTCAAAGACCGATGATCCTGCCATCTCCCTGGTAATCTACCTAATCACACCAGCCTGCTCCCACTGCTGTCCTGGCTCCCTGCACAGCTCCTGCTGCTCCATGACCGTCACCTCACACCCTCCTGGGAGCCTCCAGCCACCAGCCCCCCATCAGCAGCTCCCAACCAAGGAGTGTCCATCACTTCTGTCACTGCTGCTCTTGGACACGGACCTGTGAAGTCTGAAGGGAGGGGGGAAAAGCATCCTGATTGGAATTTTACATGTTAGTTTGCTCTCTCAAAGAAGATACTGCTTCAAATGGGAGCTTCCATGGCATTCCAGCATTTGTGCTGTTTTAAAGTCTGCAGCTCTGTTTAAGCACAGCAAGCTTCCTGTAACATCAATCCAACATGCCCTTGGTGACAGATGCTGCAGATCACAGCCATACACCATGTTCTGATTAACAAAATCTCCACTGCTAAATTAGGGCAAATTTGTTTAATAAGAATGAATTCAGTTTGACCCAGGTGGTATCTATCAGTCTGCAGGCACAGGAATACAATTCCACACTGCTGCATCCTTAATTGCTTCCATCTGAGCAGTCCAGGGGATCCACAGCTCGGTGTAACGGGGTGTTAGCACTTATTTCTCCAGACTGGTAGGAAATGGACACCTCGGCCTTGGCAGAAGAGTGGAGGACAAGGTGGTGATGGGAGATCATCTGGGAAGCTTGTTATTTAAGGGAACAGAGGAGTATTATTACTAGGAATGCAACCTTTGGCTTTTTAAAATACGAAACAGACAATAAAGATGCAAGTTATTTAAGTTCTGAGTGCCTCATAAACCAGGGTATCATCTATCCTGCTGTTTTCACACGTGGCTCTAATTCACAATCCTGAAAGCTGCCCTGTATTTTTAAAAACGGTTGTGTTCAGCAGCAGGAAGCCATCTGCTCCCTGCTCTGTATTCTAACCAAGCTGGATGCCCTGAAGAGGCTTCTCTGGGAAGGCTCTGGAGAAAGGTAATCTCCTGGATTAACCAGCACAGTGTTTAACCATCTGTGTACCAAAATATCCTGCCTTAGTCAGCTTTACCACAACAGGCAGCTGCTTCCAGCAGGACCAGGTAAATAGAACTGGTACCACCTTGCTGAAAAGAATCAGGTTAAACCTGAGAGGTTTTTATGGGAGCCAGCCTTAACATTCCAAATGCATCCATGTAAGTTCAGTCTTACAAAGGCTAATTTTCTTTTCAGCTTCCCAAAAGAATCCCATCAAGGTTCATGAAACTGGTGGTACTTTAGTTTCTGCCAAGACTGCTGACTCTTTTGGAAGTCATATTTGACTCATTAAAGTGTTCTTACAGCCAAGAAAAAAAAAAAATGAACAGTTCTGTGCCAATTTGGGGAATTAAACAGTCACAGAGCATCCCAAAAAATGCCTGCACTGAAAAGGGTGACAACAGATCCGGTGGCCAGAAGCAGGGAGGGAAGGCCAAAACTCCACCTGACCTGCTACAGGATGCTGCAAAGAATTTCACTGGAAGGGGGCAGCAAGGGGGATACTGATTTTTCAAAAAAAACCTGTGGAGCTGTGCAACAGGACAGAGGGTGGAGGTACCAGCACTGGTCACTCAGGGAGACTCTGCCTGAAACAAAATTAAACAGCCACTGTTTTAATTTTCTTAATGTCTGTATATTCATCAGTTTAAATTCCTAAAAAAATATAATAAAATCACACCATGGGTGCTGTGCCAGTGCACAGACCTGTACCCATGTGCTGCTCACAACACTGCACTGAACTATCCTCAATGCAGGGAATGTGGCTGCCAACTGCTGTTCCAGAAAGTGAAATCCCACTGTAAAGGAGAAAATCCACCACCTCCTGACAAGGTGATACCCACTGGAGACAGGATAGGGGGAGGTCATTAACGCTGATGGATATTCTCCTTTGCAGAGGAGTTTGGTTGAAACCACAACAAAACACAAACTACCAGTAATGCTGCCAAACCCTCTGCAATTACAGCTTTAAGAGCATATCAGCAGATGATTAAAGAGTCCAGCTTGGAAACGATGTTTTGCCAGCTCTCACAAAAATTATGTCTAGTGGATGCTTTATTATAGAACTTTAGGAAGCACTGGAGTATTTTAGGAAAGATTTGTATTCCACAAAGCCTTGCTGCTAACTGACTGCGTGGTAAAATACAACGTCAGTTGAAGTTATGATTCCAGCTTTTCAAAGATTTGCAGTGCAGAAAATTAACTACAGGCATTAATCTTTAACTGAATTATCCTGTCTCAACCAGTATTCATCAGTAAAATTCTAAACAAAAACACTGAGCCAGAAAACACTTCAGTAAATATTGATTTGTCACAAAAAAGGAAAAAGCACCACTGGCCTCCACATCCTGTCCATCTGTCTCAGAGTCATTTAGAGTCGTTCTCACAATCTGGTATTTTTTGAGGGTGAAAAACACCTGTTTTTAAAGGGGAGAGGAGAGAAGCTCCTATACAAGATTGTGTTAGCACTAAAAATATGAGGTGTTTTAGGTTTGGCTTCCTCAGGTGCTAGGAGATTTCTATAGGAAACTTTGAACTTTATTTCCTTGGCAATATTTTGAATTTAAATGAGAAGCTACAAGAAATATAGAAATCCAGAACTTACCTGGTGTCTACTTCGAGTATTCTAAGGTTAAGTGGTAACAGCCTTCACACACTTCTAAAGCTGAATCTCCTAAAGACAAAACAGAGACAAAATAAATTGTTCACCAGCTCTTAGGCTGAGGGTTCATTGAAAAATTGTCATCACATTACTGGACAGTAAAAACACACAAGTGTTTTATCAATATTTATACACAGTAAGTCCCCACAATGTAAATACTTGTCTTTAGAACTGATTCACTGTCAAAGTAAGTGACAAATATTTTAAAGCATAGATTAGAGGGCTCTATGCTTTTCTCTGTAGCTTCAGTCTCTTTTCCCCATTTTTTCCCACGTGAAACACACTTACCCAGTTGCACCAAAAATCTAATAAACATTATTGGGTTAAGACTTTGGGCTTTTTCAACTTAGGCCTTTGTGAAATACCTGTGCTGAGAACAAAAGAGGCGTGTTTTTCAAGTCTTGCCAATGTGTCATGTTGTCAGAGAGGGACTGCTAAAGCAGCTCAGCTCACACAGCCGACCCCAAGCTCCGGCACAGAGCCCACTCTGGGGAGCGGCACCAGCTCCTTCTGCCAGGACACATTTCCATCAGGAAAACAGAGGTTTCACCCCATTCACATTCCCCCATCCTGAAGCAGATCACTCCAGGCAGAAACAAGGCTCATTTCAATGTGCAAGGAGGGAGAGAACCTGAGATGACTGTGATGGTTTTAGTCTAGGTCTTCCTTGGTGACCAATTTGTAACCAAGGAAGGAGCCAAGTACCCAGTATTCCACACAATTTTTACGTAAACCAGAGTATAAATAAGTCGGAGATTAGAGACCTCGCTCTCTTCTCTTCCGGCGAGGTCTAGGAACAGTGGGTCCCTGCGTTGGTCTCGCTTATCTAAAGCTGAGGCCTGCAAAGTCCGCTGTCCTACCACGTGAGGGTTTGGAGAGTGCTGGCTGTGACTGCCAATCCTGCTATTCTAAAAGACGTGGTGAAATCTGTTTTGTTAGTTATTAGTATAGTTCGATCTAGTATACCTGTTTAGTGTCCCTTTTGTTCCCTTTTGTCCCCTTTTTTCCCTTTCCCTATCCCTGCGGGGGGTGAACCCCCTTTTTCTGTGTATATAGCATCTTAACTGTATATAACTGTAATTTGCGTAAATATAAATATATTTTTATATAAGCAGCTTGATTGTGGGTTCTTTAATTTTTATAGTTTCTTTCTCCTTTAACCTAAGGGAAGAAAGAAGGGAAGAAAGAGACTGCTGTCCTAGCTTTCGGGCATTTGGCAAAGAACCAAGTCCAAACCGTCACAGATGACCCAACAGCACAGGCTCAGTCTTTCAGCGGTCAAGGCAAAGTCAGACAGATCACTCCAGATCAGTGATCACATGGAAATAAGAGAGTAAATAAGGCAAGAGGAGCCTGGGAAATGCTATCCCATGCTATGGAAAAAAAATTAAGGAAAAATCACAGCAACAGTTTAAAATATCTTTCCTATTAAGCAGGTACAGGACACGCCTAACCCTCATCACCAATCCCAAAGTCACTTGTGCATTGGATGGCTGAACAATGAACCTCCTGAGTGGAACTTCAGAGCAGCTTTTTCCCGGCAAGTCATCGCTTCATCATCATCCAAACCCTTTCAACAGCTTCCAAAGAACAAGCTCTGAATGCACTGGAGAAATAAACTCCCCATTGAATTAATAATTAGGCCTTTCACGCGCTGGAAGGTTTCAGTGTGGTGAACAGAGATGTTGGGAATACAACCAGTGAGCTGCTGGCATCGCTGCCCACAGCAATTGTTTGGTGCCATCTGCAAGAAGCTGCTTGATCCAGCAGCACATCATTGAGTGGGTATGAATGAACCAACCAACAACTCAATAATCAGCTTACTGTTACTGGATCTGTTTAGTTCCTTTGATAGGTACTGGCAAAGGACTTCTCCTGAAAAATGAAAGGCAGGGAGTTAAACTTCTCCACTGTGTGTGCAATACTAGAGGGGGGACTACCCCTCCAAGGAAAAACAACCTGGTTTGTGAAGCTATCAAAGCTCCCAGCTTTCCTGCCCGCTGCTTCCCTCACTACAAAGTAATCCACAAAAGGCATGTTTTTTTAAAGCATCTACAGAAAGCTGCAGATGGTTAATGGGGTTGGCAACCAGAATTATGGCTTCATACCTAGATGAAGAACATCTTTAATGGTACCACTGATTCTGTTTCGAACAGCAACCTTAGATGTTTGACAGCCAAACTGAGAACCAGCTAAATGATGTTCAATTTACGGATGGACACGGATAGAAATATGGGAGTGGAACAGGTGAAAAAAGCAAAGTTCAAATGTACTTAGGAGACAAATACACTTTGATAGAATGAGCTAGCCTGCTAAAGTCAGAATTGGGCATGTAATGGCATAAATAACATACAGTGGTCTGTGAACAGAAGGTTCAAACACAAGATTCTGGCCCAGGCCTCATCAAAACTCCATCAGCAGAAAAGATTATTTTTTACAGCACATATACATACATAATAACCATCCATGTGCAGAACTCAAGATATATATAGCAAAGTATTATCTTAATCTGGCTGCAAGCAGCAATACTTCCTTCAGTCTTTCAGCTATGCCGACACGTTTCGCTTAAGAGCAGGCAGCCTGATTTACAGCTGAAAATAACCAAACAAGGCAGAAATAAACTCCAAAGGAAACTACTTCTTATAAAATCAAAGTATACACGACAAACCCATGCCAACTACTCCGCATCCTCCCCTTCCCCAGTGCATCCTCCCTGCCAGCACTGAGCCAGCCCAGCACTCCATCCCCAGGGTTCACCCCCTCGCTTTCTGTTGCAACTGGCAATTCCAATTTAGTGACTCAGGAATGTTTTGATCTCCCCATCCAATCTCATTATTCAGCAGGCCAGATCCACTGACCCAGAGCTCTACATAATACCCGGCTTGTAATTACTTGTAAATATCCCCCCCCCCCTCCTTATTACACGATATTCACAATCCAAAATAAGAGCAGAGGAAATGAAAGGGAAAAGATGAGGGGAAGTGTTTGAAATGCAACATCAACCCGGTTCAACAACACACACACAAAGAGGAAAAAAGTCTGGGAAAAGGGAACGCACAGTTGTTTAAGAAGCAGAAAATGCAGATGTAAGTATGAAAATGAGAAGAAAAAGATTAAAGAATGACGAAGATGAGATAACAAACACAAGCAAAGCTATACAAGTGCAAATTGAATTCAGCAACACATTCAAACCGTGGTGAGTTTTGTAACACAAATGAAGAAATTCGCTTAGGAAGGCTGTGAGCTCCTGCACCCATTTTGCTCAGACCAAAACCAGCTCTTCCAGCCTCATTTCTTCTCCAAATTTGAATCCAATTTATCTAATACTGTATTTTCCCCACACACTGGAACCACAAATAGTGCTCAGCACCTTTCCCTCCTGTAACCAAGAGACAGACACTCCCTTTTTCCTCCCAGAAATCAGACACGTTCTCAGACCTATTTGACCAGAAGTGTGTGCGTCTCTTGTCTCCCCAAACCTCCTCTGACAGATGCTGGAGAATAATTTTTATTGAATAATTCCAGTGACAGAACTGTCCTCATCCTGCTCCATATGTTGTTAACAGAAAGAGGGAAGCACCTTCAGGATACTTTCCCTCATAATCCATCTCTGCCACGTACAGGAGCTGTACCACAGTTAGCAAATATTTAAAGAAATGCTGCTGCAATTAAGGCAAATACAATAAATCAATATACAAAACAGGAACTCCCAAGTCTTTATTTTCACATCCTTACTTGCTCACTTGCAAAATGAATCAGCATTGGAGAAACAACAGGAAAAAGCTGAGGGCAAAGCAAAGTGCCTGCAGAAAACCACTACTATTTTAAAGCACCTTTCCTCTGCCTGTAGCTGTCTTGAAATAGTGATTTTTAACTCATTAATTGAATCACTAACATCTACTATTTTGTTAAAGCATCCAAGAGTGTGTTTTGGTGTTGCTTATATTTTTGTATCACAGCACAAAAGCCTCTCAGCTACATTTTGCTATTCTGTTTGTGGCCTTTTCGCTGAAGGTCACGTGAGAAATTTCATAGCCATAAAAAAACGTTCTGTTTTAACGTAAAAGCCCTGATGGAAAGCTAACTGAGCATCCAGGGAATTAAATTAAGTGCGTAGATCTTTCTCCCAGAAATGAAAAAGAACTTTACTACGTCCAAATGCATCTGCCTTGGGAACAGAGGACAGGCTTCCAACAGGGAAAGACTGCAGTGCTAAAAACTTCTTTAAATTCCCGTAAGTATGAGGGGTTTTTAAAAAATAGAAACACAGGGCTTTTAAATAAATGAACAACACAATTTTTCTGCTAAATTCAAGCCTAAATTGACGTAACCTCCACCACTGATGGCTGCAAGAGAGGTTCCACTGAAATTTGTGACAAACTTAACTACAGTGACACAGTGTTGTTTCTCTAATGAGCTTAGCAGATTAAAATGTGGCCATTTAAGTCTGATTGACCAACCTGTTATAAAGACTTGTGACCTTGTACCCTATACAAGAGTAAGATTCAAGCTGGCTAAAGGAAGTTTTCCATATCAGGGGTGACAAATGTGAAGTATTAGATTTGCATTTTCTATCCTCTCTCGTCAACTAAAATAATTACTCTAAAAACCTGGGGGGTTTAGTGGATTCCCTGCTTAGGATTTCATTGCTCCTATTTAATCCTTCAGCAATATTAAATTATTGTTGGTGGCATTACACTAATTTATGTGCAGTGTGCAACTGTCACAAACTGCACATGGCTATAAAAAACTTGTGTCTGCTTACTCAGTTATTTAAAAAATTAGGAAAAAATCTGTTTCCTTGGCTCATTATTACTCTTAATTTTCCCCTCTATAAATTGTGTTTGAATCACTGTAACTACTCACAGCAAGTTCACTGGAATAAATCAGCAAACCCACAACATTCCCTGCTGTGGGTAAAGTGATGCTGATGCCAATTCTTCTGGAGAAGAAATATTTTAAACTTCTTCAAAAGCACCAGCCTAGACATAAAGCTCCATTCGTGTCAGGTGGGTTTTATAAATTTTAACAAAAAAAAAAAAGAATTCAGTCCTGTTTTTGTTTTCCTACCAGTTGTGAGGCAAATGAAAAGGTAAATGAGGGTTTTCCCCTCCTCAAAATTTAAATAATGTAACGCTATGGATTTACAAACTGCAAAACATGGACCAAAATTACTTTATATCTAATTTGGTGTTGGAGTTGCTGTGTTGTCAAATAAACACTCTTGGCAGTTTCAATCATGAACAGTTTTTGGTAAAGACTTTGAAAGGAAGAGTTTATTTTAATGGGTAAAAAAGCAAAAGGGAAGAGCAGGTTGTACCAACAGCAGAAGGCAATGCTCATACCTTCACCCTGAACTAAAATGATCCACCCTGGTGTTTCCCTTGTGAGAAACTTTGCCAGTTTTCAAGTTATCAAACTCTGTCATTCAGTTGTTTAATGGTTGTCTCTCCCCCCACTAAGCACACAAATATTTTGCTTAAAAAGGTATGAATAAAAAGGCAAAATAAGCATAAATTATAAAGAATTTGTATTTTCCAGAAAAAACCACCCACCCAGCTCAGGAACAGAGAAGTCAAAATGCTACCAGGAACCCCCTGTAACATCAGAGCCTTTCTATTTCACAGGGTAATTAGAGTTTAGTAATCTAAAATATACATTTTACTCTAAAAATTAATCTTATTTAATAATACAGGCAGAAAGTAGACTTTCCCCCTGATTCACTTTTACCTCATGTATCCAATCAGGTCCTCCCAGCCTAAGATGATGGATAATTATTCCAGCAACACTTGTATCTTCTCAGTTAAATTCCGAAGGCTTCAGTTCCAGAGGTTATTTCTTTTGCAAAGTTAAAAAATTAGGTGTATCTTAAGATCCTCTCTTCTCCTAATTGCTCAACTGTATTTCCCCGTTTTTTATGGAGGGTGGGGAGGAGACTTCACTATTTCATTATTTCACTTCCTCACAGAAACTGACAGAAAAAAAAAAGAACATTTTCGTTTCCTTCTGTCAAATAAAAAAAACCCAGAAAACATGGGCTTCTAACACACCTCCTTTATTACATCATAAAGAGCTGCAGTAGAGCTGCACTGGGGACCAACCACTGTGCCAGTGGTCATGCCCAGTGAGGGCATCCCTGCGCCAATAAACAGGACTTTTAATCACAACCTGCTCTATCCCAGAGGTTCCCACTGGCACAATCCCTCCTGCAGGTCCTCGGTGGCCAAGCACTGATTGTCACCACTCCCTGCCAGGCAAACACCACAAACACAGCAGGACACCGCTCCTGCAGCTGAGAAAAACCCACCAGGACATGCAGTCGGTGTTGTGAAAGAGACATTTTGGGCCTGAGAAAATAAAGGCCAAAGACCCCCCCAAAAAAACAAGCCCAACAAAACGCCACCAGGAGTAAGCGGTGCCCTGATTACCAAGGGGACACAGATAAAACCACTGTGAGGGGTGAGCACAAACCCAAACACAGCAAGTTCTCCCAGAGGCCATCTGCAGGCTCCAGGTGAACACCTGCCCAGAATTCAGCTGACACAGAAAGCAGGAATTGCTTTTCCCACAGCCCGGATCAAGGACAACACCCCCCCACCAGCAATCACCAGGCCTCACCATGTACCCCCCAGTCCTGCAAACCAGAACCACCCCTGCACATGGAGCGGCAGGACTGGCCTAAAAACTGCAAGTGAAATGGCAAGCCTTGAACAGATTTACTAAAACTAACTGATGCAAACAAATATATGTGTATTTTGGACATGGGAGACACTTTTCATACCACAGATTCCTCCTCGCTGGATGGCGCTGGGCGTTACAGAAAATGGTTTAGAAGCCCCGAGGAGATGAGTTTCAAACCTGCCTCATTCAAATTCCCAGCACATGGACATTCAGAAGCATGAAAGGAGTTCAGACTTCAGAATTCCACGACAAAATCTGAACTGACCAGCTCAGCTTTTACTTGTTTTGGCAGGAAAATACAACCAAGTTCCTTTGGAAGGCTGGGTAATGCTGGCAGTGATGCCTTCACTGCAAAGATTTCTGTTTCTTCTCAGGTGAATTAAACCAGAGCCAACATCCTTGGGATTGAGAACACATTTATTCCCTAGTGACCCCAAAGTTTTGAGGAAAGCCACTGTGAATGCACTGCTAATGTCACAATATTCTTATAAATCCCCCAGAATGCATTACCCAGTACACATCCCATATGTTGGAGTCAGCTCTCCTGGCTACAAATACCCAAACAAATCCCAGGGCTGGATTAAAAGGGGTTTTAATTTAAAGTGACATTTTCTTACAGGAGACAAACTCTTTGGTATTTTCTAAGTATACAGTGTGGTTTCACCAACAAAAAGATTTATTTTATACTACTCCTCCACAAACCATAACGATGTTTATTTCCCCTGCTCTCCTCACTCTGCATACATTTAATCTGCAGACTGCCTGATGAAGTATGTCCTCAGCTCCTCCACTCAGTCTGGCAACAGTATTTCATGGCTGCTTAAAAAAAAGAAAGAAAGAAAAAAAAAAAGGCAGTCTATAATTTAGAAATAATAAGGCAACTAAGAATGTATTTATCCTACTGATTTTCCCACTAACTCACCAGTGATTTAACAAGAAAAGACACAGCTCGGATTTCAGACCATACACTCAGTTTGCAAACCTGACACTTCAGGAAAAACCACGTCCTAGACTTTAATTGTAACTGAGTTTTCTAACATTATAATTGGGTAAGAAATAGAAGACATATAGTTTTTATACCCTGAGTTTTCAGACAGGAATCACATTTCAGACAACTTAGAGCAAAAAGGCCCCTATTACCAGTGGGGCATAATTTAATCACTGCCATTCCCAAGGCCTTTCAGTTCCAGCACAAAGTATAGAATTATCACATTTAGGGCCTTTTCCCCACCTAAATAACTGAGAATAATGTCACAAACCCCGTAGTTTTTGTGACTGTGACACTTTTTATTCCTCCCTGTTATCTTCACTAACACCAGTGTGTGACTGTCTCTTCACTCTGCCTGTACCCCTCAAGTGATGCCATCAGTCCAGTGTTAAATCCACGTCATTCCTAAACATACTCCCCAAAGCACGAGGATGTCCCCCTGGAAACCCTTAACAGGAACAAAATGAGTTGTAAAATAACACCTTTCCCCGTTCAGAGTTATTTTAAAATAGTATTTTATACATCCACACATTTAAACAGCCTCAAAATAGCAAGGAAGAGTGAAAGTCATAATAGATAATTTTTAACATGCAGGAGGGAGTCCCTGGGCTTTATAAGGAAGATATCAACAGAAGAAGTCAGGGGAAGAAATGTGGTTTTAAGGCAAGGTGCAGGAAACCAGGGTAAGGAGTTGTGCATTACCAAACAGCTAGAGAAAACGCTGGGTTTTCATCATCCAGGATGTTTCATCCAAAATATGTTCCATTCCAGGCCCAATAGTAAAGTCATGTTGGCTGCTGTCCCTGTTACCCAAACCACTCAGTGAAACAGAGAGGTAGGCTTGGGAAATTATACTGTGCACCTTCCACACACCTTCTGATTAACTCTGATTGCCTGGTTTTCCTGAGCTAATTGTGAATAGCAAATGCTGCGCCAAAGCAAAATTTAAAAGGGCAACAAGAATGAAATCAGCAAGTGTGGAAATCAGGAACTTTTTAGGAAAAGAAAGACACATCTATTAAGGAAGGTAAATATTGTCACTAATTACTGTCCAGACAAAAATATTTCCACTGAATAGGTATTTATTTCGCTCTCTGATGAAAATGGTCTACTCCAAGCCAGAATATTATTTTCCAGCATTACCTTTAGGGCCTTCAGAAGGACTGACTGACCAGTGATTTGTCAAACCAAACCACAAAGAATACAAAAATAGTTTTCTGAAGAAGGGACAAGCTTCAGACCCTATTTTAATTTCACCACACAGACCAGAACAGCTCCAAGACACACATAAGAATCATACAGGTGTGGAAAGCAAGGTCCCTGTGTGACTGAGCTCATTAGTTATCAGATGGAAAACACTCCTAAAGTTCTCAAAGAACAGCAACTCAGAATGAACCTGGAACTAAATCCATTCACTGCCCTAAACAGAAACTGAATCCAGCTTTTCAACTCAGTTTAGAACAGGAATGTCTCTGGCTACAGCTTCCAAGAAACAGGTCGCCTCAGATTTCAGTGGAGGGACAGTTTTGTGGTCCCTTCCTTCCTCCTCTAGGAGCAGCAGGTGAGGAGATTTTGGGGGGTGCTGGGAAGAATGTAGCACCCAGGACGTCCAGCCAGGATCCCAACAATCACTCCAGAGCTCAACCAAGGTCCCCTGTCCAAAACATCAAGTAGATTGAGTCATGTGAGGTGTACTGGTATGCCCTCTGTGAAAGCACATGAACACTCATTAATTTTATTCCCCTTCTACACAATGTCACATCTCCCAAAAACACACTGCCACGCTCCAGACTCTGACCTCAGAACTAGAGAGAAGTAAAGAAAAATTAAGACATTCCTTAACATATTTTTAACAGCAACCTCTCAGGAAATGCTGGAAGCAACTTGAAATTATAAATATCCCACCTGATGCGGCCTGGCCTCGGTAGAACAAATTACCTGCATTTGGCATATTCAAGATTACTGCTGATACTGTCACTTGTAACTGCCCACAACAACATCTGGGGTTTGGCTTCCAAGTCCCCTCCTCTCTACGAGCAGCTTGAAACCCAATTATGTTTTTCCAGTAAGTGTCCTTAAATCCTTACGCCACGAGAAGCGGATTCCCAAGGAAAATTCCCCAACAACCGACCCAGGCAAAGGCCAACTGCTACAAATTAAACTGCTACAATATTACCATCAGAGCAACAGAAAATCCTGCTAAGATGTAAAACTTGTAATGACAGATGGAAGAGAAAAAGAATGTTTTCATCTGAAGTAGAGAAAAAAATCGAAGACATAAAAGGGGAAATGTAAAGAGGGGAAAAAAAAAAAAAAAACAAACCTCTGTGAGTTTCTGCTTTTTGGAACTGTAATAGGTCACTGCAATGACATCAGTAAACTTTGGGCTTCTCTTACCCCCACTGTAAAACATCAGCAATCCAGAGGTTCTGTATATTCACTTTTTTCCTGCAGATTGTTCCTTAGAAGCTGCAAAGGTTCCAGAATCCCTGACACCAACCACAACTTCAGTCAGACTCAGGTGAAGCCAAGGAAGCTCCTTGGGACCGAAGCAGAAGCAGGATGGTGTAAGTGCTCCTGGAGCAAGCAGTTAAAAAACAGTTCCTGGCAGATACATAAATATATATTCCCAGAGGGAAGAGGAAGCCCAGAGGGCAGGAAGGGGAAGCACAGGTTGCTGTTGGATCTCTGGTTTGTGCTCTCCTATCAATGGTCTGAGATAGTACCTGTCGCTGCAAACAGATCCACAGAACCATTGACTTCCACCATTCACTGGTCAGAAGCCACAAAAGTACCAGTTAATGAACACAGACTTATGTCACAAAACTCAAGAAAGAAAAGGTTCACTAGTGGTGCTTTGGTAAGAGGTAACTCAGTGCCACTGGGTTTTTCGTTCGCACAGCCATCCACCCAACGAAGTCCAGATCAGGGCACTGAAGTACATTAAAAATAATAAATAAAAAAAGAGCCCTAATCTTTCACTGAGAAATTCCCATTACAAAACCCTTGAGCACATTATGAAAGAGGAGATGGTAGCTGCTAATATAAGCTAATTCTGGCCTAGAGGATCGTTCTGTTTGCACCTCTGTGCGCTACAAACCTTCAAATTCCTCCTTCCAGCACTTGCACAAGAAGATGAGAAACTTGCACCCAGGAGAAAAAGGTACTCCAATTTTACTGAATTTGTCCCTTCAACACACTGGCACTGAAAGCACCTCAGCATTACTGAAAGAGGCAGAAAAGGACTTTGAGAGGCACATTTCAGTGCAGTGCAGATATA